CCCCAGACCTGGCTCCGCCAGGCCCACCGCAGCCCCCAGCTTCGTTATATTGCTTTAGGGGATTTGCATCTCCCCGTTTCATTTCTCTTCAAGGCAAATAAGAGCACAAGAAGCCAAGTGGGACCCCATTTTTGAAGATGCCAGACTGCTGCATGTCAGGCGGTTGCTGGGAAGAAGACGCACTGATATATACGCCTGGAGCATATAGTGCTGTATTCCCTCTCTGCACAACACAATTCCTCCTGGAGAAGCGGGACACGGGCACCAAGGAACAGCAACACCGGAGTAACCCCTAGCCACAGCCCTTCCCAGGCAGGTTCCCCCCTTTGGACTCGATGCAGTTCCCACAGATCCTCCCCAGGTTATTCCAGCCGCTCTCACAGAGCTGTAGCAGCAAATCTCAGCTTAGCTCCGAGCAAAGCAGCGCAGAGCACGTGGCGCTCGCCGGGTCCCCCAGCACCCATCTGCACCGCCTTTGTCTCCTCAGCCTTTGAGCGGTGCTTTTCCTCCTCTCTGCTGCAAAGAAACGCGTTAGTTGCAACATTGCTTTAATTTGTTTGCCAGCTTTCAGAGAGCGGAGAGGCTCGCTGCTCCCATCGGTGCCATTTGGAGGATGTTTGCACGCCGGCGGTGTTAACCCTTCGGCTCCTGCGCGATCGCTCAGGCTGCCGGAGCGTGTTTGCACACCCAAGACACACGAGCTGCCTTCTCCATCACCGCTCCCCAGCGCTCGGGGCCACGGCGAGCGTGTGGCACACCGGAGTAACCCCTAGCCACAGCCCTTCCCAGGCAGGTTCCCCCCTTTGGACTCGATGCAGTTCCCACAGATCCTCCCCAGGTTATTCCAGCCGCTCTCACAGAGCTGTAGCAGCAAATCTCAGCTTAGCTCCGAGCAAAGCAGCGCAGAGCACGTGGCGCTCGCCGGGTCCCCCAGCACCCATCTGCACCGCCTTTGTCTCCTCAGCCTTTGAGCGGTGCTTTTCCTCCTCTCTGCTGCAAAGAAACGCGTTAGTTGCAACATTGCTTTAATTTGTTTGCCAGCTTTCAGAGAGCGGAGAGGCTCGCTGCTCCCATCGGTGCCATTTGGAGGATGTTTGCACGCCGGCGGTGTTAACCCTTCGGCTCCTGCGCGATCGCTCAGGCTGCCGGAGCGTGTTTGCACACCCAAGACACACGAGCTGCCTTCTCCATCACCGCTCCCCAGCGCTCGGGGCCACGGCGAGCGTGTGCCGCTGCCCCGACCTGGCACTTACCAGATGGGGGGATCCATTTCCCCTCCCAGCTAGCCTCAGCGTTTCCTTAATGAGATGAGTTTTGTTGTGACCACAACCAGTGTCAGAGGGAATAAAAGAAAATGTGATCTGAACCGGCTCTGTGGCAGTGACAAGGACACGGGGACAAGCAGCCGCTAGCAAAGCCAGGGTAGCGCGGGCAGAGAAATGGTATCGGGTGAGCGGCGCAGCGCGGGGGACTGGGCTGGATCTGCACCCAGGGAGGAGCTGGGGGGATCCTGTTGCCCTGCACCCCACACCGCACATCCCAGCGTCTCACCTCTGTGTGCACGCACGCCATGTCGGCACCCGCTCGTGGCCTGGGACTGCAGTTTGCCTTTGCTGGACGCATCTGCGGGAACACCGGCGTGGCTACCGATGGCACGCGGCGTTTCTGCTCACGTAGCTCCAAAGCAGCTCCAGCTTCTGATACGGAGATCAGAGCAGCGAAGAGAGCAAGGAACCAGGAGGGACGGCCTCGGGCAGCGCTGTAGGACTGCAAGCAGCTGCACAGATCCCTGCTTGACCCAGCCACGGCCCAGCATCCTGTGAAAGGAGCTTGTTTGGTCTCTGCCCCACACTTCCCGATATGGGTCCTGTCCAGTCTGGGCATCCTCAGACCCTCCAGGCCACGGGACCAGCCCCTGGGCTGTCCGTGTCCCAGATGAGAGGCTTTTTCTGAACACCGTGAGGATGGCAGGAGCCAGTCAAGGTGGAATTGGTGCATGGGGAAAGTGTTTCACAACAGCTGTTGAGCAGTAGCCAGTGGCTTTGCATTGCCTCACGCTAATTGCTTGAGCTAATGAAGCTGCACGCTCAGCTCAGTGACTCTCCACCGGGTTTCCATCCGCCTTTGGTTTGTGATGTGCCGCTCACAACTCCGGAAAGCTGCAGCTGATCGATCGCAAGGTTTCTGGGGTGGCAAAAGAGAAGACAAAGCCCCAAAGGGGCTGTAAAAAACACGGCTGCCCCGAAGCAGGTGAAGGGCACTCGGATCCGAGAGCAATGAGCAGCAAGAGGAGAAAATCCCAGATATTCAGACTCAGGTGTGCAATGCCGGCGCTACATAGACGCAGCGATACGGCTCTTCCCGAGGCTGCTGGTCAGGAGACACACCTGCTTCCCTGCAGGAGATGGGCCCTGAGAAGTTCATCTCCTGGCCCTTGGGGATGGTTTCCACTGCTGAAACCCCAGGAGAGCCCGAGCCACCTTCCCTATGGCTCTCTGTGTCTCCAGGCCCCCCACACCCGCGCTGCGAGGTGCCTGGTTGTTAAGCGGTTCAACCGCCTTTTTATCCCAGGGTTCTGAAGGTTTAAATAGAAAGATATCAAAATAAAAGATAATTGTTGAGAAAGATGAATAGGGGGGAGGGAAAAAAAAAAAAAATGATCAGCACGGAGGAACTCTTGTCTAATTTCTCACCCACGCAGAGCACAGCGATATTAGTGCCTTCAACTCTGGTTCATAAAAGCTTTCATGGCTTTATTACCAGCTCCCTGAACAGCTTGTCCTTTTAATAAGCCAGGGCCTCCAGACAGCATATCTGCCCACGGGAGATCCCATCAGGACGTGGTTAATCCGGGCAGAAATAGCACAGAGCATCATTGCACTCACCTGACCAAGGAAGTCCTCGTCTGAGGCAGGAAAAGGTTAAAAAACACCCTGAAACACAAGTGGGAGAGGGGAAGGTGGGAGACGGGAGCTGCTTCTCTGCCGGGGCCTCGCCGCTACGGTGTGGCACCCGATTAATTGGTGTTGCCGGGTGTCCTCGCCTTCCCCATCAGCCCTGCTGTCCACTGCCGCCAGCTTTGGCCACGGAGGCCTTTAATTATCTAAACTGCTGTCCCTCACAAAATTAAATGCCGCTGAGGATGACTCAGTGTTTAATGGACTGGCTGCTCCTCGCGCCGGGAGAGCCAAGCGGGTGCAAGCGAGAGCACAGCACAACACGGCATAAATCAGACGGAGACACTCTGCACGGGGGCGAGTGACCCAGCAGCTCAGAGCCGGGAAGCAGGCAAGCTGCTGATTTTAAACAGTTGCGTTTTTACTCAGGACAACCCTGTCGGTAACTCCTGCGAGGAGCAGCTCCGGGCGCTGCGGCTCGACCCTCCGCCCAGGCTGTCTTTGACCCTTGGCATCTGCTACCACTTGGGTGACAGGGACGTGCTTGATTTAGAAATCCCACAGCATCACCGAGCTGCTCGCACTGCGTTCTCGTTTCTCAGGATTTAGATACAGTGGTTTCCTTTGGAAAGGTCTCAGAAATGGTCAGGCATGGCTTAAATGGCAAGAGCAAATAAGATCCAAAAAATGCAACCCAAGGCTTATATGTCTTCCTCTGTTTGCCGACCCCGGATGGCAACGTGCTCTGGGCCAGCCAAAGCCAGCAATAGCAAGAAGCAGCTCTGCTAATAGCCTCATTAGTCTCACCAAGATGCTGAGGCTTTGGCTTCCAGCAGATAATTAACGACGTGCTCATGAATTAGGAAGCCCTGGACCTCTACCAGCACCTATGTGGAGGGAGCTTCTCTTAGTTCAGAGCTGGAGCAAAGCGACGCCTCGAGAAGTAGCCCAGAGCGATGGGGACAGCTAACGGGGACCGGGAGCAGTGGTACCCAGACCCATGCAGGTGCAACAGCCGGAGCTACCCCACCACCGAGGAAGACACATGCAAAAAGTCCTAGTAAGGTCCCATAGTGCCTCATTTGAATACAATTTACTGTTGCTAATGATGCTGATGGTTATTTCCCCAAGCTAGGAAGTGTTTGGCCCCAAAATGGGCTCCTGGAAGCAATTTCAGATGAGCAATCTGTAATACCGGAGCTGATGGAAGCAATTTGCAACCCATTAGCAGAGATCGGCTCTGAAGATATTTTACATGTCACTCAGCCCAGGTTCGAGCAGGGCTTGAATTTTTTGTCCCTCCTGTAAAATTTCTGGCCTGGGTGGGACGAGGTGGCTGGACACCGCACCAGCCTTGCCAAACCCACCGATGTCAAGGGTTAGAGCAACACCAGGCACAGAGCAAACAACGGCACCGTCCTCCCAGCGAGCAGCTGAACACCAGAGCACCACCTCAGTGGCCCCGGCAGCGAGCAGAAAGGGCTTTGTGGCATGCCACATCGGTGGCCTTTCAATTAAAACTCTCACCTTAAACACACAATGCGATCCTGGAGACTGCAGGGCCAGTCACACCCAGAGCCGTCACAGCCTGGGAAGGGAAGCGGTGGTGCTCAGCACCTCCAGCACCCACAGTACTTAATAGACCATTATGAATTAAATTGCCTCCTGTACAGCAGCTGGGCAGCGCATGCAGATAAAGAAGCAATTTGCAAGCCAGAGCTGCCTTGACAGAGGGAGCGATAGCAGGGCATAACCCAAAAAAAGCATGGAAAAACCACAAAAAAAGCATGGAAAAGCATCTCTTACCCATCCTTGCAAACCTATCCTTGCCCTGGGGATGCTCTTCCAAGAAGCAGGTTGGAAGTTTGTTTCCGTGACAGAGGTGCATATGGCAGAGCAGGGACAAACATTGCTCAGAAGGTGAGAAAAAAGCCCAAGCTCCTGAGGTGTTCCAAAGCCCAAGCCCAAGCTTGGCCCAAGCTCCTGAGGTGTTCCAAAGACACGCCGGTGCCTGCCCGTCTGCTGGAGCCTGCACTGGGAGCCTCAGCATTGCAGCACCTTGCCTTAATTACTTTTTTTTCCACACTAATTGAAGCTGTGAGCATCCCATAGGGGAGCACTGGCTACTGGATCTGAAGTGGGACAAAGCACTCATTTTGCTTAAGAAGGACACAGCTACAACGGCTCCTCACACCCCACTGCCCAGCACTCAGGGGTCCCCTTTAAGCCCTGGTGCCTGGTGTCTTCCTGCTATCAGTTATCACCTGGGGCTGATTATCAGCTCCTCTCCCATCCCACAGCCCTCAGCTGGGTCTCTCCCAGCAGAAATCAACACAACCCTCACGTGGTTCCCCCAAAAAATAACGCGGAAGTGCTGATGCTCCCCACGCTCCACTCGACTCCAAGGATGCAGCTGCATCCTTCCTGGCCAGGGGCCAGCGGTGCGAAAGTCTCCTCCTCCCCGGCTCCCGCAGGAAAGGGTCCTGGGGCGTTCGGGGGACCCCCGAGACCCCCAGGAAACCTGCTGTCCAGCCAGGGTGGGTTGGAGATGCAGAACCTCTTCATTGGGGTTTTCCACTGGGTGGAAAGCAAGGGCTTGCAAGTACGTCCCCGTGCGCATCCGCTCCGGCCTGAAGCCCCATCCCTCCCTGCATGCAGCCCTGCCGCTGCCGGTGGATTTACTGTCAATAAAACCACTGCAGAGAATGACTTGTCATCTGGAAGAAAAGAAAAAGTGGGGGGAGGAAAAAAAAACCAACCCCTTTTTCGACGTTCTTATCAGCACATCCTTCTCCGGGTTTCTGTCCGGAGCCCTAATGGAGAGACGGCCGTCAGCAGGCAGTTGTCGTCCAGGCAAGGAGCAATGCCGACGCGCTGCGGGACGGCGCGGGGAAGGGAAAGGCAGAGCTGGTGCCAACTGGAAACGCGAACGCCGCTCTCCCGGCCTTGCAGCTGCGTTTCCAGGCACTGGCAGGGTGGTCCCAGAGCCCAGTGGTGAGCAAGGGGGGGCATTGGCTCATGGGGGTGTCCCTGGGCCCCATGTCCCCCAGCAGGTCCTGCTGCAAAACCCTGCGTTCCTGCTCGGGCAAGGACGCGGTTTGGGGGAGGATGCTCCAGAAAAGGACCAAACCAAGCACGCCCAAGACACTGGATGGGAGACAAGGTGCACGTGCCTGACCCTGCTGTACCCCAAACCGCCCACGCTCCCGGTTAGCCGCAGCTCAGGCAGGGCTGGGGCGCTGGGAAGGCGACTTTGGGCAGGGACACAGCTTGTGGGGACGACCCCGCAGTCCGGCTGTCCCTTTCCAACGTCACACTCGTAAAGGACATGGAGACACTCTTCTTCCCTTTGCCTGCAGTCGCCATACTGGGAGCAGTGGGCAGGCGCCTGCCGCAGCCTCTGCTCCCCGCGCCGCTGGTGGAATCACAGAATGGATGGGGTTGGAAGGGACCTCTGTGGGTCACCTAGTCCAAATCCCCTGCCGAAGCAGGGTCACCTACAGTAGGCTGCACAGGATCTTGTCCAGGCGGGTCTTGAATATCTCCAGAGAAGGAGATTCCACAACCTCCCTGGGCAGCCTGTTCCAGTGCTCCGTCACCCTCAGAGGGAAGAAGTTCTTCCTCATGTTCGGACGGAACTTCCTGTGTTTCAGTTTGTGCCCATTGCCCCTTGTCCTGTCACTGGGCACCACTGAAAAGAGCTTGGCCCCATCCTCCTGACACCCACCCTTCAGATATTTGTAGGCATTTATAAGGTCCCCTCGCAGCCTTCTCTTCTTCAGGCTGAACAAGCCCAGTTCCCTCAACCTCTCCTCGTAGTGGAGATGCTCCAGTCCCCTCACCATCCTTGTAGCCCTCAGATCAGATGGAGGTGAAGCAGGGCTGGAGACGCAGCGGCGCTGGGGGGAAGCTGGGCAGCGCTGTGCAACCCCTCTTGCTCTGCTCTGGGAGGAGGAGAGCACCCAGCACCCAGTGCCTCCAGTCCTGGGGTGCAGGGAGCACCCTGGGGACAGTGGCACCGTTTGGATGACTGTAAATGGCAGAAGGCGAATAGCGGAGAGAGGGGCAGCACGTCCCGCGTGGGGCAGGGACAGGAGACAGATGTTTTTGGCAGGGTCTCGTCCCCGTCGTGGCGAGCATCGTGCCAGGCACCACGCCGGCAGGCAGCGAGGAGCGGGGCTGCACCCGGCAAGGCCAGGACAGACGCTCGAGGCACCGCGATGCCCCCGAGCAGGCGGCTGGAAAGGGCCGGAAAGGGCCCG